GATGTTGTACTGAAAAATTATATGTGGGTGGAAATAATTTGATGTTATTTCTCTAGAAGAGAATTTTTGTTTGCTTATGCCAGGCACGTGAGCATGTTAGCTGTACGACACATATTTATTGAGCACTGTTGAGGCAGAAAAATAGAGTTATGAACAAGAAATGGTTAGTCTTTCTCTGAATAAGCAACGGGATTCATTTAAACAGTTGTGGAAGAATAATTTAGTTCATATAAGTTTGATCAGCATCCAGCTTTCCCTAACCTTATCCATCAGCACCCATTAAGGCATGGTAGGCTGAGCCATGCAGAGATGACCTGAGGTAGCAGTTCTCTTGCAGTTGTATTTCTTAGATAATTTAGAAAAAAATATATATACTATGAACTGATTATTGCATTCATCATATAAACAATGTAGTCAGAAATATTCAGAACAATCTTACTTCTTTTGACTAAACATCCAGGAAAGAGGATGCTTTATTTTATTTTTAAGGTTTTTTTTAAAAATGTTTCAATAGTTTTTAGGTACAGGTGGTTTTTGATTACATGAGTGAGTTCTTCAGTGGTGAATTATGAAATTTTAGTGCACCCATTCAACTGAGCAGTGTACACTGTTACCCAATATATAGTTTTTTATCCCTCACCCTGCTCCCAAAGTCCCCTGCCCCGAGTGCCCAAAGTCCATGATATCACTCTGTATGTCTTTGCGTCTTCATAGCTTAGCTCCCACTTATAAGTTAGAACATATGGTGTTTGGTTTTCCATTCCTGAGTTACTTCACTTAGAATAATGGCCTCCAGTTCCATCCAAGTTGCTGCAAAGGACATTATTTTATTCCGTTTAATGACTGAGTAGTATTCCATGGTGTATATTTAACACATTTTCTTTATTCACTCATTGGTTGATGAGCATTTAGGTTGGTTCCATATTTTTGCAATTGCAAATTGTGCTGCTATAAGCATGCATGTGCAAGTGTCTTTTTCATATATGACTTCGTTTCGTTTGGGTAGATACCTGGTAGTGGGATGCTAGATCAAATGATAGTTCTACTTTTAGTTGTTTTTAAATTTTATTTCACTTTTATTTTAAGTTCAGGGTTACATGTGCAGGTTTGTCATATGGGTAAACTGTGTCATGTGGGTTTGCTGTACAGTTTATTTTGTCACCCCGGTATGAAGTCTAGTACCCATTAATTATTTTTCCTAATCTTCTCCCTCTTCCCCTCTCTACCCTCCAATAGAACCCAGTGTGTGTTGCTCCCCTCTATGTGGAGGGCCCTCTAAAATACCAGACTAAGGCAGTTACTAATTAATGCCAGAAATATAACTGTATATTTATATACTTATAGCTCATTTTAATATTATAAACTTAAATACTCTGAATCTGCAGACCATCTGCAGGGACTCTAGAGCTTGTGTCTAAGTAGAGGAACCAAAGAACACAATCCTTCCACATCCAAGCTCCAGAGTACCTAGTTTCAACCCTCACAAGCTGGAGGTTGGAGCTACTATCAAAATAGTGGAGAGACCAATTAGCTGAGGAGAAATCTGCTATGGAGTGTAACCCAAGGAGACCTTAACTCTCCATCACAATGACCACAACTGAAAAGTTTGTGCTTTCTCTGGACTTGCCATCCTTAGTCATTGTTAGGTATGACCTCATGCTTATTTAATGGGGTTGGTGGGTTTCTCAAACAGATGAAAAACGAAGTCCACTCCTCACCCCTCACTCTTCAACAGGAGAGCTGACTTAGGAGATTTAAGACAAACTACCATAATGTATATATTAACATTAATATCATTAATATGTTTACTGACCTGCAGTATCTGACTATGAAATTTTTTGAAAATACTTCCATGAGACACCAAAGCTTTTGGTTTCTTTGAAGTAGGTTCCTTTCCCATGTAGGCTTTGTTATCAGGCTCCATTTTTTCCTACTTACATGAGCTTTCTCTCTCATTTACACACCCTGGTTTCTTACTTGAGACTTCCACGTCATTGTCTGTGGCTGATTTTTAGGAAAGAACCAGGTTAGTGTCTGAACTCAGACCACATATACCACATCTGTCAAAATGGTCACTTTCAGCGAGGGAGCCATAGACCCTACAAAATCATTAGTCTTAAATAAGATCTAGATCAAAGTTAACTGGGCCTGAGGAGGGGACATTTGCTTTGCTTTGAACATTAATGAGCAACTCTTTCAGTTAAAACTTAGAAAAATAGAACAGAATTAGAAACCAAGCTTTCCCCACAAAAACACATGTCTGCCATGGGCTTAAGAATAACGAGGCCCAGCGTCAGAGGAAGCAAGTATCACTGGCAGTTTCCTCTACTTGTTTCCACCTGTTTGCATGAAGATGATAAGTCCCTTGGATTCTGAGGAATTTGCTTCCTCCTGAGATCTTCAGCATTCCCCTTACTTTCCTTCCCCGCCCCCCACCCCCGCTCTGAGACAGAGTCTTGCTCTGTCACCCAGGTTGGAGTGCAGTGGTGCAATCTCGGCTCACTGCAACCTCTGCCTCCCAGGTTCAAGCAATTCTCCTGCCTCAGCCTCCCGAGTAGCTGGGATTACAGGCATGCGCCACTATGCCCAGCTAATTTTGTATTTTTAGTAGAGATAAGTTTCCACCATATTGGCCAGGCTGGTCTCGAACTCCTGACCTCAAGTGATCCGCCTGCCTTGGGCTCCCAAAGTGCTGGGATTACAGGCACGGGCCACTGTGCCTGGCTGCCCCTTACTTTCTTTGGGGTTCCCATTACTGCTAAAACACACAGAGACTATATCATTCGGGTGCACAAATATTTTGATGAGTTCTTACAGTGATGGATCATGGAAGACTGAAAGGCAAATCAAATGTGGCCCCTGACCTCCAGGAATTCGCAATCTAACAAATGAAATAGACACATCCAGGGCCAATTCCTGTTCCATTAAAGCCATGCTGTAAGATAAGTGCTATAATAGAGGCCCAGCTGAATCTAAAGCTGATATGGCTTAGAGTTTTAAAAGTTTCAATGGCCTTCTCAGTAGATCCCGAGGAGGGGATTCTGGTTACCAGATTATTCTCCAAATAGGACTGGCTATATCATTTGTGGGGTCCAGTGCAAAATGAAAATGAAGAATCCTTTACTCAAGAATTTCAAAACAGTGACAGCACAACCTGAAACCAAGCATGGGGGCGTTCTGAGTGCAGGGCCCTATGGGAATGCTACACAGATCACACACTCATGAAACTGGCCCTGTCTGCAAATGTGGTCTATGAATAGGAGAAAGAAGTAAATTTTGAGCAGTCTAGAGAAGGAAATTACACATAGAGAATTTTCTTTCAAGTAGTTCACAGGAAAATAAAATCACTCCAAGAAAAGCAAATAATTCATTCTTCACCAAATTAGCAAGTGGTGTTGGAATCTAAAAGATAACAAAGTTACAGTTTGCAAAGACATTTTCACAGATATTTCACAGCTACAAGGTAAGTACATTAATAATAATAATTGTTGTAGTAGTACCCGGCACTAATGTATAGAACTTATTAAGTGCCAGGATTCTTCTAAGTATATTACATATACTTTACTCATTTAATCCTCAAAACAGCACTGGAGGGAAAATTCTATTATTTCTCTGTATTACTACAGATGAGGAAACTGACCTTAGAGAGGTTGAGGAATTGCCCCTGGCCACACAGAAAATAAGTGGTGGAGGCAGGATTTGAATTCAGACAGTCTAGCTTCAGAGTCTGTGGTCTTAACCACTATTTATGCTACCTCTGAAAAAATAAAGATAGGAAGGAAGGGAAGGAGGGAGGGAGGGAGGTGGGAGGGAGGGAAGGAGGGAAAAAACGAAGGGAAGGAGAAAGGAAGGGAAGGAAAAAGGAAGGAAGAGAAGGAAGAGAGGAAGGAAGGGAAGGAGAAAGGAAGGGAAGGAAAAAGGAAGGA